GGCTATTTGTCCTTCACTTAGTCTTTTTTCGAGGTTTTTCATGGACCAGGTTTGTCATCTATACAAGTGAGATGACTTAAGCACTAAAGATCTGTGATCTTCTTACGTGCAATGCTTGTCCATCCTAACTTCTTCTTCTCCAGCCTCTTTCCTTGCATCCATTTTCTCCTCATCTTTTTCCTGCTCTGCTGCTGTGATTGCCTGTCTCCTCGTGGCCCGATGCCCAGCCGCCACTGGGTAGCATTCCTCACCCCGAGCCAACGGGAAGAGAGGGATTGAAAGTGGGGGGAGAAGGAGAAATGGAAGGAATGACACAAAGAACCACAGCGGGGTCTCCTTATATAGAGTGTGATGTTATGTATCTCTGGCCTCGCTGAGGAGGCGAGGAGCAATTTCTTCTCCAAATTGTTTGTCGCTTTCCAGCTTTTTCTCAGTGCCTGCCCGTCCTAAACGTTCTGTTTATCGCCACATCCACTCACTTTTAAACAGCTGCTCGCTCGTTACAGCATTCTCGCCCAGGCCACAAGATACCCGCACAGTTTGACCACACAGGGGTCTGCTAAAATACACATATAGCATTCAAACACACACGGCCTCGCTTTCTTTCTTTCTTTCTTTTCACAGTGGGAAATGAAATGCCATATCTCGAAGGTAAGTTATGATGCCTGCGCTGCTGCTGCTGAGGTGCAAAAATAAAAGACTTGCTGAGAAGGCAAAATGGACTCCACCCTGCCCTTCAGCTCTTATTTCTTCTGAACACTTTGGTTCGTGTGTGTAAGGTTTGAGGCTTGGAGCAGCATGTTTATGCAGGCCAACACAGAGGATCGTGTGTGTGTGTGTGTGTGTGTGTGTGTGTGTGTGTGTGTGTGTGTGTGTGTGTGTGTGTGTGCGAGTGGCATCTTCTCAGTAGGGAAGTGCTGGCAGATGTGGCAGTCAGACTGTGGGTACAGCGGGACGGATAAAGTTTGGCTTATTGCTGCAACTCAAGCCACACAAGAGCCACGCATGCAGTCCTTTCTCTTTCATTCTCTCTCTGTCTTCTGTTCTTTTTGTTTTGTTTTGTATTCTCTCTCTCCTCCTCTCTGCAGTTGTCTTCACTGTTCTAACTGAACATGAATCTTCATCTACCTTGGTTCTTCTGAGCCTCCCTCGGGTCGGACACACTCCAATTGGATGTTTTAATTACATGGATACTGATCTTGTTAATTAAATCTCTGTTTGAAAGCATTTGCAGATTTTAAAAAAACTGCTTGTGGGAAGTAAGAGCGTCATGCACTACTTTGTAATGTGTTAATGCAGTGATTCCCAAGCCAGTATCCAGGCTCTTGTGTAAGGGAGAAAAATAAACACACTAATAATATTGCAAATTGGTGTGAGTTTGATCTTTAATATATTTATCATCCCAATTACCAGTAACCATCTGGTAGTCAGACAGCACAGGACATCAAGTGTTGTGATTGAAAGTGTGTGAAAACTATTTCGCAAGCAAGTAGAGAAGCCAGACAAATGAGTTATTGTTCAAAACGTCTGCCACTCCATGAGGCAGTCGTACAAATACAAACTACTGACTCCATAATTAAAGAGACTAAGCCCCCACAGTTCTACTGGTAAAAAAATGTCCACTTGTATATACTTGAAGGAATAGTTTGGCATCTGTTTTCTTGCTGACAGTTTGTTGGCAAGATTCATACCACTGTTCCTAAATATGAATGACTAATGCCAGAAGTCGGTTAGCTTAGCTTAGCATAAAGACCAGCTCTGTCGAAACAAAACAAAACCCGCCTACCGACGCCTCAAAAGCTCACTTATTAACACACTAATTAACATATCATTCGAGATATACCATTTGTAATTTGTTCGGTCTTGTTTGTTTGGGTGAATGTCGTCATCTTTGGACTTCTTTTGTACTTTTCTATATTTCCTTCATATTTAATTATTTAATCGAAAGCATCTCATGTAGACAATACTCCACTCTAATTCAGTGTGTCACAAGCTGTTTGGCTGCAGCATGTGTTTGAAGACTGTAAGTAATTTGGTTGCTTAATCCATGACGTTTGTTATATTCCTTTAAAAAGCAGTTGTATATAAATAAACAGCAGCCTAAAGGTCGCTGAGGTAAACTTATGATCCCTGTATGGATTGTGAGGGTCTGAGAGTGAACATATCACCCTCCATTCGCTTGGTCACACTCGTGACCGAAACCCTGCAACTGTCCCAGTGGAGCTGTTCAGAGGGAGAGTGTGGTTTCACTGAGCACTTCCAACGCCTGTCCCTCAGCTTTAGTAAAGGCGGATGAATGTGCATGCATGGTAAAGAAGCTAACCAAGTGCTTGTAACAAATTGCAAGACAAAAGAAATGGAAATTAAAATGTACGCAAGTCTGTGCACGTTTAATTGGCCCCCCACCACCACCAGCCTTTGAGCCACCGAGGACGAACAGAAACAATTTCAACGATTTCTTTCTAGCTTCTCTTTGGCAGCCCGTTGGAGGCTCATGTCCATTTCCCACAGCAGCTATCAGTCTGATGGAAACCGAGTCCAGTGAGAGATCTATGTTGGCTATTCACAAGCCTTACGACACACTGAAATCCAACCACAGATATCTGGAAGTATTTACAAAGTTGTTTAATTAGATCAGTGGCTTGAGGCTGCAGTGGAAAAATATTCACAGCATGAAATGTAATGACAGAGAAAGAGGAGCAGAAACGTCTGGACGGGCACTCGCAAAGACCATGGGTACACTAGAACCAGCTAATGCCACACATCTTAAGATAATTAGAGAATGGAAAGGCATTTATATATTCCCATCGGTGATTTCTTCCGCATGCCTCCTCCAGCAAATGATTAATTTAGAGTTCAGGAACGTGTGTGTTCACTGTTTAGTCTACGCCTTCCCTGGGTTGTAACCCCTGACCCGACCAGATCACCAGAACGCCTCTGTAAAACCATCAGACATCAGCTTATCTAAACTATCCAGCATACAAGTACCAGGACCAGCCTCCTCATCATTCAAACTCCATCCATCCTTTCCATCCGTCAGAGGCCAAACTCTGCTAACAGGAGACTACTTTTTTCCTCAGCTCAGACTCCAACAGGCCGGACAGGCATTTCCTGTGGGTGGGACCTGAGAGCAGAGACATTCTTGGGCCAGGCACCTCCACTTCCTGTCTCTGTTAACGCCACACTGAAAGACATGCTGTCTGGACCTGCTCTTACTTGACTACACTCTTTGCTTGGCGCTCTTATCCGCTGTTCATGCAGCAGTAGATTAAGTTTAAATTCCAAGATTACTAATGTCGCATGTAAACACGAGTTTAAAAGTGCAAGGTCAAAGTCTCAGTGCCCAGATAATGGAGGGAACAAAACAATCCCGTGGACCGAAGGATATGAGACAAAGACGTATCGGGAAAATAGTTAAGATAGAGGTTTAAAAGCAAATGGAAAAGAGTCGAAACCTCAGAAAAGTATATTTTAGAGCAGGTAAATGTGTAGAATTATGGCAGATTAATGTGTAAGCTTTTACTGAAGAGCATAAGTCTGAGGATAACTTTAAGATGACTCAAGAAACCATGACCAAACTAGCATCTGGGTGTGTTTGCACCATCACAGTGAAGTCAACACATAACAATAGCTAATATCCCCAAACTTCTTTTTCTCAGCTGCATTCACAGGTAGAAAGCTGAATGTTTCCAAGCCTCAAATGTCAGGGAATGTATTCCTGTGTGTGTGTGTGTGTTTACATGCATGTTTATGTGCACCGTGGGGTGTTGGAATTGGCGTGACAATCAATTGGTGTCCACCCAGGGTGTCAACAGCTGCACCAAAGTGTTGGTATTCAACAGCTGGACCATTTTAGAGCAGGAATGTGGGGGGTTTAGTATGGACGAGAGTGGTGTATGTGTGCTGTAGGGGGTCCTACATACTGTACATATGTTACAGTTATCAGTCATTCAGATATTTTACTTAAGTAAAAGTAGCAAGACATAGTGTGTAAATACACATAAATATACAAATAAAAGTATTAGCATAAGAATGTACTTAAAGTAGTGAAAGAAAAACTAATCATGCAGAATGTCCCATTTCAGAATCATATATTATATTACCGGATCATAATTATTGAAACATTAATGTGCAAGCATCACTTTAGTGTTGCAGCTGGTACAGGTGTAATCTTAATTACTTCATATACTGCTGGGTAGAGTATCCTATAATAATACATCCTAATTCATTTGTTGATTATATGTTGTATTAATTGACAAAATCTACAAAGTAATTAGTGTCTTGTGCTTTCAAATAATAGCAGTGGAGTAAAAAGTACTATCTTTGCCTGGAGTAGAAGTAGAAGGTGGCATATAATGGAAATACTTGAGTAAATGTACTTTCCCCACCACTATGAGATGAGTTGATTATAGTAATAATTTCCCACCATTTCCTACCTTTTCCTGTATTCTTAACCCTTCTCAACACAGTGACTTTAAAAAAAATGTCATGCCACATAAGTCTCCCCCCCAAATATCTGTTTGATTGTATATACTGATATTTCTTATATATATATCCTACATCCTAATGCTTGTTCCCTTATGTTTGATATCTTTCTAGCTTTGTACATTTTCCTTTTGGGAACAATAACTCACCAAAAACCTTGAATGTTTAAATTTCCTAAGCAAACTGCTGGGATATCATTCAGAAAAAATGATGCTTCAAGCTTTTGATGTTATAATCAACTCAAGGGCCATCTGTGTTCTCCAAATAATGACATGTCAACATATCAGATAAGCAAAATAAAGCTGCCAATAAATAAATATAGCTCCTCCAAATTGCCAAATGCAAATGTGCATGCAAGTTGGATTCTTTTTCTTCCTTTTTTCATCTCTGCCTGCATCATTTGGAATCACATTGAGGACTTCAGGTTTGTGCTGTGTGTTCTTGCTGCCCTCTAATGGTTCATTGTGAACAAGACGACTCCAAACAAGTCTAATGTCAACTTTAAACAACACTTTTATTCAACTCATGTTCATAAACTGTTCACAGCCAAACAAACTCTGAGCGTGTTTAAGGAGAACTGGCTCCTCCACTTATCCACTTTGGTCCACTTGACAAACGCAGTCCAGGTCTCTTAGCAGATGTGCGAGCTGAGGTTTGGTTCAGTTTAGCGGGGACAATTCCTCAGTAATGGTGATCATTATGTTTTGTCATAGAGAGAATACAGAAGTTCAATCTGCTCAGCATACTCGAAACCTGGCCTGTGGGGAAAGGTAACGTAACAGTCATGGTCAAACTTCAACCAGTGCAATGGCGTCTATAAATAATTTATTGTAATGAAAAAAAGACATATGACTCAGTCAGAACAGACTATGCACTCTTCTCCATTATATTCTCATTTTGTAAATAAACAAAGATGCGTTGTCCAATGTAACGATCATATCTATTCATTGTTCACGACGACAGACTCCTCGTCTCTGCAGTTATCTCACCGTCCAGGTGTCTCCAGGATCAGAGGGATGTTGTCCAGTCGGGGCTCATTGACGATGTCTCGGAAAGCAGAGATTCCGATGTGACCTTTACCAATGTCTTCATGGCGATCGAGGTTGCAGCCTAGTTTACCTGCAAAAAAAAAAAAGAGAGAAAAATAACAGAAAGGAAAATGAGCGCTAACGAAGCAGCAAGAGTTGATTTTCAAAGGTCACAAAGTTCGTACTGCTCAATGAGCTCATCTATCTAATCTGTGTATGTGATATTTGGGTGTGAAAGTCCTGGCTGTACCTTTGGAGTCATTGAGATGGAGGGCTTTAAGATAGCGGAGTCCCACTTCCTGCTCAAACTCGTCAAGCATGGCCGTCACTCCTCCCTCTGCAGCCACGTCATATCCTACCAAGACAAGAAGCAACACTCACAGCCCGAATAGAAGATGTAATACTTAAAGGCTTGGATTTCTAGCAGATTTTAGGTTTACACCAGGGAGTTTGAGCAAACTATGAACCCTTTTTTTGATTTCTGCTGATTTTGTGTATCAAAAAGGATAAACCTCAGGTTTCTCTCACCTGCTGCGAAGGCGTGACAGGTATCCAGACACACTCCTACTCTGGTCTGGTCTCTCACTTTGTCTATGATGCTCCTCAGCTCAGAGAACTTACCGCCCACCGTACTGCCCTGACCGCTCATGTTCTCCAACACTGACCACATGGGCGGCAAAAGAAAAAGAAAGAAAGAAAGGCACTATCAGTTTGACACACCCATTCAACTCCAATATTTACCCCAACCTGCTACAACGCCTGATACGCATCCAAGACTTGGGTTCAGTTGATGTTCAGGTTACTGCTTCAGTGGTTTGCAGGCCTTCCACTGCAGTGTATTCGTGTCACACCAGCAGCATTTGAAGTATGCGAGTCAAAAAGACTGTGACCATGAGTCATAAGTAATGCAACATCGGTGTCAAGCCTGCAGTCGGTTTCGCAAACTGCAAGTTATGTATTAACACAGAAGTCAGTCTCAGGTCAAATGGTTTTCTACGAGATGATGACATGCCCATTATTTTGATAACTGACTTGCGGTAGTGAAATATTAATCCTCCTAAATAGGGTCAAGAATATTTTAAAGCCAAGTTTTTCTTAATTACATGCAAAGGGATTAACCCACCAACTGTGATTTTGGTCACATTAGATTTTAATTAGAGTTTGGCTGCTAGGTTCTCTCGCTATGCTGAGATCCACAGGACTCAATAAAGCATCGTCTTGCAGTAAATTTTTAGTGAAGCTTTAATGTTTTCTGCTCGACAAAGCCACCAAGAGGTATGGATTAAAGTCACTGTGATTGTGGAGGCTGTAGTGTGTAGTGTTACACAGTTAAGTGGATCAGTGTTGGTGAGGTTCTCCGCTGTTCTTCTTTGCGGTTTTCCTCTATTTAGCATGCGTCATTGTGGTTATCTGATACTCCACGCATTTCTCCATGCTACATGACATCAGTTTGCAGTGTTTGCAGTTGGTGCACTTACACCAGTGACTATTTGCCCTTAGTTTACCCGCCCACTGCACCTGTAACCACAGCAGGTGTTTGCCGGTGAGCGTGGTTAATGGCTCCTGCTATCTTCTCCACACACTGCTCGGTGGTGATGGAGCCCAGGGAGGAGCCAGGGTGGAAGTTGTAGAGGTTGAGGCCCAGGAGGCTGCAGCGGCTGAGCTCATCCACCAGCAGGGCCTGGCTCTTCTCAAACACATCTGCGTGCAACATGGTACACCAAAACAGAGGAGGTTGTCAGAGGGTAGGAGACACGGTTGGAAGGGAAAGACAAGGGTGGGGTGGGGTGGGGGGGCGAAGTCAAGGACAGAATTTGCAGAAGACATCCATCGCTGTCTGACAAACCCTCTTTAGGAGATCCACAGTTCATCAAGTAGGACCCATGAGGCAGGATGTGAGCGGGGTCATACTTCTGTAGGGAACATTTCTCCCTAAACTGGGCCGCAGCTGTCTGGTCCAGTGCAGGCCTCTTCCATGACCGCTGGGAGCCCAGAAACAAGGCGAAGCTGCTGCCACCCATCTCTGTGCAGGACCCCACTGCTTTCCATATCCCACCTGGAGACATAGAAAAGAGGCAGCACTGGAAATGTGTGCGCGTGTGTTTTAATGGCTTAAACTCCAACAAGATGGCATTAGACCTTACCTTGAATGCTTACATGAGCTCCAATGTATTTCTTATTCCCTCGGTCCTTCCTCCTCCTGCCTCTCCTCTCCTCAGTGTCCTCTCCCTCCTTTTCTCCTCCCAAAGCCAGCTCGGATTTCCTTTTCCTCGGACCCATACTATCAAGATAAAGTTGAGAGCGGCGGTTGAGAGCGGTTAGAGGCTAATTTTAAAATATGCATTTGTGAAGGCTGTTAACCTACAATGCACGGACAGCGGTACAAAGTTTGACTGTCAAAAGTTTATGAAGGTCAGAATGAGGTTTTTTTTAATTCATCCCTCCCGGCAGGAGCCAGCCAGTCAGAAGAAGGCTTCCACGCAGCTGCCACAGGCCATTGGAGACGCTTCATGCTCAGCAGCAAAATGGCCGCCCGTCAACCGACTGACTCCACAGCGCTTTGAAATTTAAATTCTTCTGCACATTAGGGTTTACACTATTACAACGTTAGTACTTATTTACAAACCAGTAGCTTAGTGCGCGTGTATTTGCATCATCTGCCACTTACTTGACTGTCCGCTCAGGCGTCGCTGTTCTTGTAGCCTCGACGAATGCCTCAAAAAGCTAAAAAAAGAAATCGCACTGAAGCACTTTAGCTAAGCTAGCTAGCACGCTAGCTTTTCTTCATATGTGATTCCAGAGGTGAGTAACGCGAGCTGGAGATGTGCGTAATGTTTCTCATCGTTTTAACATTTCATATTTGCTATGCATGCAAAATGACTGCAACATATTTGTCAATGAAATGCAACGGTACTTGCTAGCCAAGCTAACATCGTTAGCCTGGCTACTTGTAGCTCCTGTCAGTAGGTAACTTGGCTCACTTAGCTAATGTTCGATAGCATTAGCGGTGTCTGTGCATTAGCAGAGGTGGATATGTGGCTCAAGGCTCGGTGTATTTGCTGTCAAGGACCGTTGTGTACACAGAACAGAATAACGTTAGTTAACATAACGTTTCATTGGTTGCTCTCGTTAACGTGGTAGTTAATGTGCGCGCTGCTCTGTGTCTGCGTATTTAACAAGTATGAACAGAAACCACTCCTTAATGTTAGCCATCGACGAAACATTTAACCAGCAGCTGCTGTTTAACTTGTCGCCTGTACAAACTTCTCAGTACAGGGATGACGGTGGCTGGATATGAACGCTGACCGCTTAATGGCGGTCCAGTTCAGCTAGGCGACGTTAATCACCTGTGTCTTCGGTTTTGGTCAACACTTTTACATTTCTAACACACGAAAGCTCAGATCGTCGCTGTAGCGTTAGCTAGCTTAATGCGGATGAGCTTGTGGTAACGTTGACGGGGACAACGCAGGCACGACGACATTAGCTGGTGTCGTTTAACGTTACATTACTGATGGTCAGAGCTGAATGCAAATCTCGTAACAGCTTGACGTTCAGGTCTGTCTTTGTGGTGCACCAGGCCCGAGGTCGGAAACGCTTTAGCAAGGATGTCAGGTTCTGTCAACCGAGGAATCATGCCTGTTGAAAGTGTCATGGCACTAAGCAGAAACGAAACCAACTAAAAATAGACTCTGGACCACTTTAACGAGTGTTTGCATTTAATGGCTAGAAAATGGATAAACTGACTATTTTCAACATGGTGTTATGAGCTTTGGCGTCCTGTGGGATTTTGGTGATTGCCAGTATGTTCTAGTACACTGGTGTATTACATTTGTGCTACATTACAGTGTCAATATTTTCTAAACCTATTAGAATGGTAAAGTTAAATTAACAGTGAATATCGTTACCTGTTTGGCTATCAATTAAGTTTTATCTTTAGGGGGAAAAAACATCTTTAGGCGTCGATATCTAACCCTAAAAAAGCACTGCCGTTATATCAATATTTATCCATATAGAGGTATCTAACTAAATGTTTTAGGTATATGGGTTTGTCCATGTCAGCTTTGTTCTTCTATTGAGGATCTTAATCACAGTGCACTAGTTGGTGTTCTTGTGTTGCATCCGTATCTTGTCTCACGGTTGTTAAAGGGAACATTTGCCACCTTTTTTACATGTATGTCCAATCAGTGCTGATGGGACTACATTTAGTCCACTGAAGAAATACATTGCCCAGTGCGTGCTATATTGACCGAATAAGCTGATCCCTCCTGCTGCAGAGCCGTACGGGCTGTGCCTACATGTACCAGAATGTATCGCGCGTGAGTAACAATTTCTCTTTGTCTGACAAATAACAAAGGTCTAGAGCACACCTTTGTCCCAGTGAAGAGGAAAACTTTCATGCATAGTAATGCTGCACACACAGCTCGTTCTCACTGGGTTGTCATTGGCATCAGCGGCCAACAGAAACTGCCCACGCTAACAATCATTCCAGCAGAATTATTCCATTTCTGTTGTATCGGAGAGCAAGTCGGCGTTTGCTCTCGGCAGCTCAGATTCTGGTTGGTCCCTGCCGGCCATATATCCTCCCCGCAGCCGCTACAGCCTCTAGTGGCCTCTCTTCGGCTGAATACGGATGAATATCCGAGTCAGCTGAAACACTATAATATCTACATTGCTCAACAGATTTGGCAGCTGCGCCCCAGAGACGTAGAGTTTTCACACTATATGCCTAACATAGATCGCTAGATTTTGGGTTGAAAATTGGCAAATGTTCTCTTTAACCCTGTGAACCCCAATCAGTTTTGGGACCTTTTTTTCGCTCCTGTCACATTTCTTACTCTGGCCTTGATTTTCACTGCAATGTAAAAGTCCTGCACCTCTATGGAAACAGCACAACCATGGCTAGAAGTAGGGAGAACTCAAACATGTCTTACAATTACAAATGTCTTACAATTACAATGCCATGGATCATCAAAGTAAAACGCAAGTTCAATTTCTTTGATAATTTATTCTGACTTGTTGCCACAAGTGTTACCAATGTTGGGGGGAAAATGGAGGCTCCACGTGCTACATATGTTGAGCTATTCACATTCTTACAACCGCTGCAGTTCAAAGTTTCACAGACTTTTTGTCACGAGACCGTTGGTCTCAATCGAGTCAATCATGGCTTCCTAGTTGCACTGAGGAGTGCAGAATTGATCTGGTTGGAGTAAACCGTTTATTTGGGGCAACATTTTAAATGAGACCTGTAGAATACAATGTTTTTGGTTAAATATCACAATTTCAAGCTTAGTTTCGGTTGTTTTTTCTGACAGAAGTGTTCGTCACACATGATGTGTCCAAGGAGAATCTGACACTAGTGATGGTTATTACAGCATCTGGCTATGATAAACAGTGTACTTTTGGAGATAGTTCAAAGAAAACATGATCTTCCATCTCGCTGGCGGGTTTTGGGCTTCAGAGGGTTGAAGAGCCGACATGTAATCTGGAAGATATGTGTACACTGCATTTTATAAACAATTACAGCAGAAGCGTGGGTCTCAAACCTCCAGTTGGTCACTTGTTATGGTTTCCATAGCCATATGATGGGGATAATTACTGTTTGTTGCCCACATGTCCAGCAATATTCTTAGCTCTAGCACCTGATGGCTGCTTCATCCAATCAAGCATGCAGTCCATTGTCCCTTACACACATGAATGGAAGCTCATGTGGCCTCCATCCACAGTGCAACTGTTAAATCGTCCTTTCCATTGCTGCAGTCGTCATTAAGTATTGGTCAATGTTTTTTGTTTTTTTTTCAGGGATTTACTTTACAGTAAAGAGCCAGCGGCAATACAAAGAAGCACTCTGGACTTTAAAGATGGTGAATGTTTGACCCTTTTTGTTTTCCAGAAGAACGGAGTATCAGGACAGGAGCAGTAGTTCATGGAAGACAAGAAAAGGAAAAAAGACGACAAAAGGAAAAGGGAAGCCTCTCAGAAGGTGAGCATCTTCAAAATGACTTGCAGGCTATGTTTTTGTTAGAAGTGCTATTTCTGCTTATTTGGGGTTGTGTAATGTCTGTGATGAGTTAAGATTATACTGTTTTCAAATGTAAAAGTTTAAAAGCTGTATTTCTGATCATTTTACATTCACATCAAAAGAAAGTGGTTCCATAGCACTCATGAAAAAACTTGACTTGGATGTTTTATATTAGAGGTTGACGTGTAGTGGGGTTTTTAATGGCCGATATAATGACTATAGTTTGTAGCAGGAAAAAGCTGATGCCCGATTAATCAAACCAAACGGCTTATTCAAAGTAATAATACCTGAATAGATAAATCTGTATCACGGAACATTAACGAATGAATCTGGAGCTGTGGTGCAGCGGTAGAGCAGGGTCGTCCTTCAATCAGAGGATCGATAGTTCGATCCCGGGCTCCGCTGGTCCATGTCGATGTGTCCTTGGGCAAGAACCTTGAATTGCTCCCGCAAGCTGTGCATGCGGTGTATGAATGATGGGCAGGTGGCACCTTGCATGGCAGCCCCTGCCATCAGTGTATGAATGGGTGAATGATGACATGTAATGTTAAAGAGCTTTGAGTGGTCTGAAGACTATAAAAGCACTGTGCAAGTCCATTTACCACTAACAAAGAGTTAGTAAGAGCCTTTTTATATATAAAACGAGAGACTTGAAAGGGAAAGGTTTCTAACAGCTTGATTTCATCATGTGCTTTACTTCTGTAGGCTACTTTTGCATACACGGTTTTTAATTAACCGTTTTTTTGTCACTCTGAATTAACAAGAGAACATCCTGAAGTGTGGTTTGATGGATAACATCGTTGGCTCTATTTATTTACAATGGGCAATGCCCTGTTCCGTGGCTCATTACCAGCCAGGATGATATTTGTTGCACGTCCTGTTACAATATTTAATGTCACTCTTACTAACCATTTATGTTGCATGAGCAAAGTACCAGCTTAATGATTTTGTCTGCCTGTCTTGTATCATGGACAGAGAGCTGATAGTGTTGCATTATACATTTGAGAAATAACTTCTGTGGGGAGAAGTAAACTGAGAACAGGTCAGTTATGTCATTGTATTTGTCAGCGAAAATCATTCCAGTGTCTCATTGCTTTGTTGACATAGCCGGGCTGGTTTTATATGGTTTTAGTGCATGTGAGCGTGACCCACTGGTTAGCTCACGGCTGTTGTACTGCTCGGCTCTCTTATGGAGGTTATAGCTGATAACGCCGTCCCGACCGACAGCATTGTCACGGACGCGTAGCACCCACCCCCCAGTTTCACCTCAGGTAAACACCATTGGCTCTGTCAGCACTTTCACCGTAGTTTGTACAGCTAGCGCTGTAAGCAGCGTTAGCTGTGAGCAGCTGTTGAGAGGCACTCAAAATGCTCCTAATCTCTGATCTTGCACCTTTTAAAGTGTGCCACTCATAGATATGAGGCCCCACTCTCCTTTAAAAGTTGTATAGATTCAATTCACATCCAATTATCATATGTTGGTTTTGACAATATGATCATGATAATGTAGTCATCATTGTTATATGACAATTCAAATGGATGGCAATCCATTTTATGAGGTAATTTTTAAAGGGATGTCAAACATTTGTGCATTTTGTTTTTGGAGGAAGGCAGAGTGACTCTAAAAAGTTTCTCTTAGAAAACAAAAGTTTGCATTGAGCTCGATTCTGAAGTATTTCATTGACCTGGGACAAGCTTTAGGTTGCACTGCTTTGAGAATATGAAACGGTACTAACAAAACCACGAGTCAACAATGATGTTGGAATTAAGTCTGTCCGAGTTACAAGAACAGGTCTCAACAATGTGATGCATTTATTATCCGGGCAGTCCTAGACTGTTTTCTTTATCTAACCACAATCACAGATTAGTTCTTGTGAACTCCATGTTGTCTGTTGTCTTATACTTTCTTTTTCATCTTTGCTCAAACTGAGGTTTGACATTTGAATGAATGAAATGTATTTAGTTGTTCTCAGGGTGTCCTCACGATGCTTTAAAAGAATCATTAAGTAACTAATGTGTGTTTTCTCATCATTTTAGGTCACAGAACAAAAAAACAAAGGTAAGCAGTCAGGTGATTTGAGCTTTCAGTTTCAGTTTTATTTTTATTTTTTTATATATATTTAAAGTGGTTATTTTAGTTTGGTCCATTTCTTATGGAACACTTATTTAACATATTTCATGGCTTGTCTTAATCAGCTTTTGTAATACTTGCATATTTTAGTTTTGTGGGGGGAAAAAGGCTGTTAGTGAATGCTTTGTAGCATTTTCCATTTTCCTTATTTACTTCATACAAATGTATTGTTGGTGCATTTACAGAACAGGAATTGTGCACTGTTCTCCCGAGATGTACTTGGTTAAATTATGTTTAATTTCCCCCTATCCATTTCTCTCTCTGCCTTGCTCTTTCCTGCAGTGCCAGACTTGACCAAGCCAGTGTCTGCCCAGTCTCCTGCCACTCAGAGCAGCTCTGCCTCCCCCAGCCCTGGACCCACCCCCTCTGCCTCCCCATCCCCAGCCACCTTGGGCCCTGGCAGTGCTGCCTCCCCGTCACAGGGCGGCAACAATGCCAAGCGCCTGGCGGTGGCCAACGGACAGCCCACCTCCACAACCATTTCTTCCTCCACCGCTGGCGGCCCCGGTGCTGCTGGAAACGGCAGCGCAAGTAGCGGAGGCGGAGCCCAAGCGCCTCAGCAGCAACCGCGCTACATGCCGAGAGAAGTGCCGCCGCGATTCCGCTGCCAGCAGGACCATAAAGTGCTACTGAAGAGGGGTCAGCCGCCACTGTCCTCCATGCTGCTGGGAGGGGGAGGGGGAGGAGGAGGAGGAGGGGATGGCCCCAATGCAAACATGGCTGCTGTCTCAGGTACATTTTAGCAATGCTGTAGGTCACATTTAGAATTGATCCATTCTCTGTTAAGATCATTTCTTTTAACATTTCCTTTTGACCCCTAAAGTTTCTCTCTTATGGGATTTTATTTTTCAGATTCTGGTGCAGCTGCCGCCTCATCATTGGCCCCCACCTCATCATCAGTTGCTGCTTCTACTACTACTTCAAATTATGCAAATTCCATGTGGGGGGCAAGCTCAGGCAGCCAGGTCCCCTCTCAGGGCAGGGAGAAGGTGATCGTTGATGGCAACGACCTGGAGGAGTGGCCTAGCATCGCTGGCAGTGAAGGGGTAGGAGCTTCTTTCACTGGGGCTGGAGGGGGCAGCAGCAACAACGGAATTCCTGTGAACAGCATTAGTGCCTCTGGCAACCAATCCTCACCCACTTCCTCGTTCTCTTTGCCCAATGAATGTATGCAGTCGTCCAACGGTGTGGCGTGGGGGATGGCTGCCTCCCAGGGTCATCTTGGAGGAGGGAATGTGGTAGCTGCAGCTGGGTCTCTGCTACAACAGCCCTCTTCACTTTCCAAAGCCTCCGCTGTGCCAGGGAGCCATGATGCCAGTGGCCCCGTCGACGGCAGCAGTGGGATTCCAGGTGCCAACTTCAATCCAAATGCCAACCCTTTGGCCTGGCCTGCCCTGGTGCAGCAGGATGGGCCCGCTGCTGCAGGGGAAGGAGGTCCGTCTTCCTTCCATCCCCAGGGCCCTGGGGGGTCTTTATCTGCCAACTCTGCTTCCCTGAGCCTGGCGGTGGGAGGCGGGGCAGCCGGAGTGCTGGGGGGTCACCCACCTTTATCTGTGAATCAATCAAGCACCCATCAGCGGCAACTTCACCAAATGCAATCCAGAGACAGAGAGATGGGAGGGGGGAAGTGGGACAGCGAATCAGCGGGACCAAAAATCGCAGGGGGGGAAGGGATTGGGGGAGGAATGGACCGTGGTGTGGGAGGAAGCGAGATAAGTGTGGGAGACCACAGCCTTGCCTCCTCATGGAGAGGCCAGTCTTCTTACTCTGCAGCTAACTCCAAAATGGGTGCCTCAAGGACTGATGGGTGGGAGGGTGGAGGAGGTGGCACAGGGGGATTCGGAGCTGCTGAAGGAGATAATGGGACCTCGGGTTGGGGGTATCCGAGTTCCACTAGTGGGATTAATGCTTGGGGCAGTGCTGGAACTGAGGGAAACAGTAGTCAAACCTCCGGGGTATCTCAGGGAGGGTGGGGCTCATCAGGAGTAGGAGGAGAGAGAGGAGTTTCTGGTGGTGAATGGGGTGGGAGCTCCACTGGTATTGGTGGCGCCAATCCAGGAGGTGAGGGAATTGGTGGAGCCTGCAGCAGTAACAGCAGCAGTAGTGGGGGCAGCACAGCTGGCAACCCCCCTGCCACCTCTTCCTCTTCCTCAACAGCCACCACTATGACCAGAGCTTGGGACAATCAGAAGGGGGAGAGTGAAACGGGGGAATGGGGTGGGGGAGGAGATGTACAGGGAGCACAGGGAGGATCTTCATCTAGTGGTGGAAATTCCAGAAATGGGAGCGGGCCTAACAGTAGACACAGTCGTCCTCCCCTCCCTGCACCTAATGCTGAAGATGCCTTAGAAAACCTGCTCAGCCGGTCTGATCTGGACCCTCGGGTCCTATCCAACACCGGCTGGGGCCAAACACAGATCCGACAAAACACGTCCTGGGACTTTGAAGAACGTGGAGGACAGAGTAAAGGTAGATCTTCATCAGCGACATCGAAACACACATCTTCTCATGGTGGTTCTTCTCAGTATTCTGGTGGACCCAGGACTCTAATCACTGATTCTATGGGTCCAGGGGTCAATCCCTCCCTGGTTCCATCTGCTGGGTCCTCCAGAGAGGGCTGGGAGAGCAGCAGCAACAGTAGCAGTAGTGGGGCCTCTCTGTCTGGGAGAGCCCCACAAAATTCAGGCCCCAACATGAGGAATCTTGGCGTCTCACAATCTGGGCCAGTGACCACAACGGGACCCGGAATGGGGTCGGGGGTAATGCCAGGACATAGCCAGCAGGGTAAGGCTACAGGCTGGGGTGGAGGAGGGACGGGGGCTGGGGATGCCCAGCAGGCCAAGGGCTGGGGAAATGAGGAATGGAGAGACGGCGGCGGCGGTAGTAGTAGTAGTAGAAGTAGTAGTAGAGGAGGAAATGGAGGAGGAGGATGGGGTGATCCTGGGCAACAGGGTGACTCAGTGAGTGGAGGCTGGGGAGGAAATAAGGAGGAGAAAGGGGCAGGGGGGTGGAAAGAAATGGGAGGGAATGGAGGAGGGAGCGGGTGGGGATCAGGACAGAAGGCTGGGGCAGGTAGGGACTGGGGAGAGCAACAGTCCAAATCAAATAGCGGAGGAGGGGGATGGGAGGATGACAGGAAGAATGGAGGAGGAGGAAACTCAGGTGGGGATTCAGGTGGGGGTAGTTGGGGGAGCTGGGACGAAGGTGCTCCTCGGAGAACCTGGGGAGCCGGTGGCACAGGGGGGGGAGGAGGGAGTGGAGGAGGGGGGGTGGGTGTTGTTGGGGGCATGGGGTCCAAACCCCATCAAAGTTGGAGTGGAGGAAACAAAATGCACCAGATGCCAAACAGCCAGCCGGGCTCCATCACAGGCCCGCAGGCACAACTGCAACAGCAACAATCACAGCCCCGCAATCAGCATCCACAGCGACAGCCAGCGATGGACCAAGGGGCTATGCAAGGGGTCGGGGGGAGGAAACCCACCTCTCAAGCCCAGAATCAGAACCAAAGCTCAGGCTGGACCTCGGGACCCATTCCTGGTAGCTCTGGAGGAGGTGGAAGTGGATCTGAACCAAGCGGCTGGGAGGAACCCTCCCCACAGTCTATAAGCAGAAAGAACGAGATAGATGATGGAACATCAGCATGGGGAGACCCAACCCATTACAACTACAAGCCGGTCAACCTGTGGGATAAGAACAGCGCCCCTGCTGGGCAGCAGCCACATGACCAGCAGCCACAGAGCCAGGCTCCGGCTAAGCAGCAACAGCAACAGCAACAACAACAACAGCAACAGCAACAACAACAACAACAACAGCAACAACAGCAACAACAGCAACAGCAGGCTCCTCCAATACAACAGCAGCCTAGCAGGCAAGCTGCAGCCCTTGGAGGTAACCGAGACTTCAACACTGGCCATGGACCTGGAAAAACTTCAGCTATTGGTAAGACACCACAAACTTTGATTTTGAGCATAATAATATAGTGTTTTGAATATAGTGTCATGAAACAGATTCATGACACATGTGTGATTTGGAGTTTGTTTCTGAATCAACTGTGGCAGTTTGACAGCTAAAGACGTAGACAAATGTCCCTAAATATTTTTTCGTGTGAAATTCACTAATAAATTAACTTCTACAACTGCTGCCTTTTATGAGATCGGTTAATCTGATATTTATAGGTCAGCATGGAGGTTTAGCGAATCAAAATGACAGACAAAGTTGTATTTCAGCCAGCCACTTGCTTACTAGCTCTGGAGTTTCCTCTCAAAACCACATTGAAAGCAGTCATCCACGGTACTGTAGCTTCGGTGGGTGCTCCAACTCAGTACAGCCGAGGTAAAATCCCATCTTCTGTCGGTGGATATTCTCTGTGTACTATTGTGACTGTAAAGAAGATGCTTTGATTTTAGACCAATGTACCAGATGACACCAAGCCAACACCTCGTTTTAAACCCCTTTGCAGGTGCCTCCACTCTAGACGTTGAACTCGAATTGAGAGAAACAATTGTGTCCTTACCCAAAGGGTCTCCACCAGGTTGCTCCAAATTAACTTGTGTTGTCCATGTGTGATGTAGGTCCGTCAGGTTGGGGTGGTACTTCTCCAACTAGTCCTACAGCGGACAATGGCACCGGAGCTTGGGGAAAGACTACTGACGCACCTACTGGCTGGGGAGACCCTGAAGAGGCCGGAGGGAAGAACACGGGCTGGGGCAACCCTCCTCCCAACCCCATCAAATCTGGTTAGAAAAGCAAATAAAGACTAAAGCAAGCTTTTGAGTATTGTGTTGATTGTACCAGGTTAACCTAGAGTTATTTGGTGCATTGCATTTGGAACATTGGCATGCCCAATCCGCTAGTCGAAAACCTACAAATTGATCCGTTAATTACTTCACAGCCTGACAGTGGCATTTAGTATGACTTTTTTTTTCTCCAGCAGGTTCAAAGTCTATGCAAGATGGCTGGGGGGATAAAGAGGCCTCTGTGGCTGCCTCGCGTCACTCAAGCTGGGAGGACGAGGAGGAGGGAGGCGGAGGCGGAGGCGGAGGCGGAGGCGGAGGCGGAGGCGGAGGCGGAGGCGGCGGCATGTGGAACAACAGCTCTGGCTCCCAGGGAAGCAGCTCGTCTTGGGGACAGGGAAGCAACAGTGGCTGGGGGCAGAGCCACCCGGGGAAGAAGCCCACCAACAAGGTGGGCTGTGAAAATGGATCTTGATAAAAGAAAAGCGCAAACAAATTAAGATTTATTCAAAAGACAAAGACATTTGGGTCCTGCAACCTTCATGTCTGTCAATAATATATATAGTATATAATAGTTTAGTTTTTAGAATTATGTCGAATCAAGGCATGGATGTATTTTATAACATTTCAGAAATGAGCTAAGATGAAGTTAGCTTAATGAACTCTGGGAAAGTAGGAAAAATGGTTTCTACTGATTTAGTTTGGTGATGTTATTGCATTAATCTAAATTATAATTTCTCTGTTAAAACCCTCGTAGAACTTAAACGTTAACTCGTAGTCTGCTCGCTTTGTACTTTTCTCTCAGGGTCCAATGAAGGTTGGCGGAGGAGACTCGTGGATGAGCCCGATCAACAAACAGTTTTCTAACATGGGGCTGCTGGTAAGACAAAACATGTCTTTGTATTTTACTTATGAACCTGAGTGTCATTGTGGCAGGGAAATGTCAAAACCTTCCTCTTTCCAGATGCTTTGTTTTGTACCCGACCCACACACGTATAAGCCGAAATGTTTAGACGCTTAGCAGGTTGTTTATTCCCTACATGATGATGATGATGGTGGACTTTTCCGCTGGACAGAATGATGATCCCAGTAGCCCGAACATCGACCTGGCTCCGGGTTCTCTCCAGGAGAAGAAGATGGATATGGAGAAAAGAGCCATGGGGATGGGGATGGGAATGAATGATTACAATGGAGACCTAAGGAAGGGAGGAGGAGGAGGAGGAGGAAGAGGAGGAGGAGGGGGGATGGCTTATCGTCCACCTGGTTCCAAAGAGGCAGCACCTGGGGATGCTGGGTCCTACTACGACAAGGTAATGTCTCACTGCCACCTCAGCAGTCTGTCCTCTGTTTGGCTCATTTCTAGATAGCAGTTTGTCTTTACTATTCTTTATTTCCTCTTGTGATTCTACCTCTTTCTTCCTCGTCTGCCCCATTCCTCCCTGTCTCATTCTTCCCCCCCCCCTTCACCACCACTCAAATTGGTCTCCCATTGGCTGTCACTGTGACAGACCTTGCCTTTGACCAATCAGGATTGGTGCCTTGGGGAGGAGGGTCCTAGCTCTCTGTACTCACCACCCACTGTCTACAAGTCCCATTCTCTCTTCAACCACAATATTCCCTTTAGACAAGTAAGAGAACCGCGCCTCTTGTTTAAGTCCTGCCATTTTTTTGAACATTGGGTTCTTGTACTTTTCTGTTATTAAAAGATAACACACCCCACCCCACCCCACCCCCAAATTGTCCTCCTCCAGTCTGTCCTATTCTGTGTAATCTGTATGTTTTCATGTATACGTCTCTATTGTTATGGGTCCTCTAAGGTTTCATTTTCAAACTACGATCACAGGGCAGTCACAGTATCTTTGGCAGTAGTGGAGGGATGGCTCAGTCAAGACACCAGCCAAGTGTCCCACCCATAAACCAGTCCCCAGGGATACGAGCGCAAGTGCCTCATCAGTTCCTGTCACCTCAGGTACCAGTATTCTTCCCAGCTGTCTACATATTTCACACTTACCACTGACATGGGAGGTATGTGAGTTGACTGTCTGTGTTAAACAGTGTTGGTTGTGGGATGAGTCATCTTTAGGCAGCCTCAGCCCGACAATCTACAAAAAGTTCCAAAATCCTTAAAATACAGTCGCATCTAACCAATTAGCTGAGTGTTAGCTTTCATTTATTAGTCTGTTCTTGTGATCAAACTCCGTCTGCCATCGCTAACGTTACCTGCGGTGGAAGAGGATGGACGTCTGCTCGCCAAACAGTCGAGAACTGTGCATTTCTGCACATTAATGTTCTGCGTGTTCGCCAAATGTTTTGATAAATTGCTGGTATTACTTGTCTTACTTGTGACGGTTTTATTGCATTTGTGACGACAGTTCTCAGCATCTACTGGAGTAAAATGTAGCCACACGCGCTCTGACAATGTCTCTGTGGGGGCAGGAAGTAGCTCATGAGATAAATTTCAGGAAATGTCTCATTTGTCTCTGGAGTTGACCTTTGAAAAGTCAGAGGCAGAGACTAATGATACAGCAGAGAAAAACACAAAGGCATACGACTACAGGTTCTAATTTAAAAACAAACATAACTGACAGAAATACCTTTTGTCTGTTTCCTCTTTGTGTTCTGATGGATCACTGTAGCAGGGCCTCGATAAAGCTAATGCCTGACTACATTGATCCTTAACAAATCGAAGAGATTTCTGTCTTGTTACGTTTGTTTTAGAATGAACCTGTAGTCGTGCATTTGTCCGTGAAAACAGACACAAATCTGATGGAGACAGATGATTTAGCCAACGCTAATTTGTGGAAATGAGGTCAAAGAGACACTGGATTACCACTTGAGTTATAAACATAAACATTACAAGTTACATTCCCCTTTTATTCTCATCCACAACAATGAAAAAATATGCTTTTTATCTGATCGATAATCAATTAAGTTTAAGTCATAATAATAATGTCCGTGGCAATTGATCAGCTCGTAACTCCTATTTTGTGGAAAAATAGAACGTAGACATTGCTTTTGTATCATGCACTTCGTGTATATTCATTTTAATTAAAGGTGGAAACTAGCAGTGAAGCAATGGCGGAGAAACCGTTATTTATTATAATTGGCTCCAATGGGAGACATGCACAGTATATCCTGATCATGCACGGGGTGGGGGGGTGTGTGTCTTTGTGCTGTGAACTCTCTGATATCATGTGTAATTGTCTGATTCTTATGTCTATGAGCTTACAGAGTCTGCTGGCTTTGTTTGTATCTATAAGCCGGTGCACAATCTGTCTTCAGGAAAACATTGATCTTCCTCCGCTTCAAAAGAATACAAAGTGAAACGACGCCTTTTCCAGGAATTGACTTATTTTCATCCGCTCACTTGGGTCGAGACACTTGTTACCAACAGTGAACGAGCACATGAAAGCGAATCGATGTTCGTCGGGGAGAGGCGCTGTACTAATATGGTTGCTGGTGGTTACAGCAGCGGAGCGTTTCTGTCGTAACAGGTGCCTCTGCCGTTGTGTCTGTCTCCAGGTGCCAGGCTCCGTGCTGAAGCAGATGCCCCCTCCCAGCGGGAGCGTGGGGGGTGTTGGTGGAGCGGCAGGCGTCGGGGGAGGTGTGTTCCCTCCACAGCTGTCCCCCCAGCATCTTGCCATGCTCAGCAGCATCTACCCACCTCACATCCAGTTCCAGTTGGTGAGAAGCAAAAACTAACTTTGTCACTCCCCTTGCATGTCATATTTTCTGACGGTTGATACAGAATGACTCACTAAACTTTAACCCATCAACACCAGCAAAATCCATGAAATCAAACCAAGCAATGTAGGAACCCTGTCCCCATAAAATGTCTTTAGAGGTCCTTGTTATGGTAGGATCACACTTATGTTAAACCACATTTTACAAGATTCTGTGACACAAATATATTCTTGGGAAACTTTTGCTACAGCGCTAACTCACTGCCCAAATATCTAGATGTGATTATTACTCCTAGTGGAACCAATAGTCTACATAGCAATCGGTTGACACGTGGATTTATCAAGTGCAACCTTGCAAATTAGTGTGCAGAGTGCATTTTTGTCTCTGTTGCAGTGTCGTTCCTCCTCAGTTTCCTTTTACTTTTTCGTTCCGTCTGCGTTCGTTCAGGCTTGTCAGCTCCTCCTGCAGCAGCAGCAGCAGCAGCCGCCGCAGCAGCAGCAACAACAACAGCAGCAGCCACAGCATCTACTGCAAAACCAGAGGAAGTTCACACCGAATGTGCGGCAGCAGGCTGACCCTCAACAGGTACACATAAATACAACATATCACTCACTCCTTTACTTCCTCCTCCCAGCTGTTGACTCTTGTTGTTTTATTCTGTTGTGTCAGCTGGCCAGGATCATGGCAGTGCTCCAGCAGCAGAGGCAGCAGCAGCAGCAGCAGCAGCAGCAGCAGCAGGTCGGGGGTTTAGGCGGCAGCTCCAAGCTTTCCCCCTCCCACCATGGTGGAGGTGGCGGAGGGGGTCCCAAACTGCTGGGGGCCGATTCCCTGCCTCATCCAGGCCTGGCGGGATCTGTGGCTGATCTGCACCAGAAAACTCTTGGACCATATTCCGGTGAGCGTTTGTTCCCAGACAGGTTTTATTTTTTTTTAAAAAAGAAGGAAAATGCTCACTCCAGTGTTGTGTTTATGCACTACTTTCCCCAGAGATCGCAGGTTAAGCCACAATCAGTTTAGCACTGTGAAATATGTTGTACGTCTACTTTTCTGTTGATGGGTGTGGGTTGGCATGCTATTTTAATGTAGCACCAGAAGTTTCCTAACAACATACTCTCTGTCTCCTTCCTGTGAGCAGGATTTGTATCTGGGGTGAACCTCCCAGGTCTGGACCTGGGCGGCTCTGTAGTAGGGGGTCCTGGGGGCATGAAGGACCTCGGGATTCAGCAATCCCGCTTCAAATGGATGATGGAAGGACACTCTTCTCCAGACACCTCATCACCTGAGAACGCATTCCACAAAAACGGTGAGATTCTTTTAATTTTATTTATAATTTTGTATTCTTTTATAAGACGTGAAATGGAAGGCTGTTGAGGCAAATCGTGTTAATGGGATTAGATGTGAAGTCGCGTATTAAGGTGATTAGTGAACCCATCTGGTGTTCAGTGATGTAACAACCATTATCACCACCTTCCAGGTCCTGTCACCCCCATGAAGATGCCGGGGGGCTCACCCTACTCTCAGTACGACATGATGGTTGGGGACGGGCTGGGAGACAACTGGCATCGCACCCCTGGCAACAAGATGGTTACCAAGCCCACCGTCACGCCCAGCTGGCCCCCTGGTCAGTGACACGTTATGGTTAAATTGATAACTAGGAGTGGAAGCTATAGAGTATGCACTCTGATTATACCGTGCTGACCGGTAGAGATTAGAGATGATCCAATCGATCTGGTTTTCAGTTCCATCTGATCACATTTACACACGTGTGCCGCAGCAGCATGATAACTGTGTGTCTTCTTCACTCGCCCCAAAACCACTGTAAGTTCAAAATAAGCCTTGGAGGGACGACCTTAAAAACATAACAAACAAACCTAATCAGCCACTAATTGTAATTCATTCCCATGCATCTTCACAGAGTAATCAGAGGCTCCTCTGCTGGTAGCACGGGGCTAAACGTTAAAGAACTATTTGGGAATGTGTTCTCTTTACCTGTACACACTGCTTCTAACGGACCACATGTGTGTTTCTTCGCTAGAGTTCCAGCCTGGTGTGCCCTGGAAGGGAATCGACCGTGTCGACCCTGATTCCGACCCTTACATGACCCCAGGGAGCATGATGGGAAACGCAGTGTCCCCCAACCTCAACGATACCGAGCACCAGTTGTTACAAGACAATACAGGTAAGCATTTACCAGCTCCACTGCCTCATTATCCTTATCATAAGGTGTTGGATGGCACCATATCTAGCAGTTTGTTAGTTTACCTTCCTTACTTGTTGGTTGGTCTTCTTGTACCATTTTTTGTTGTCTGCCTTCTCTCCAATATAATGGAATTAGATGGCACTGGGCTTGTGGTGCTCAAAACTCACTTGAAAAACTCAACAGCAATGTTTCTTACCAGAGGTCATGACCAGGTTACTTAAGATAATCCACAGACCTTGTTGGAATCAGTTTCATGTTGGAACTATTTTCTTTCTCCCAAACATATCGCCGCGCAGAAGCAAGCGTGCATGTACTCAGGGACGATAGGCTCTTGGTCGTGACAGTGCGAGATGAGAACATAGCATTTTGAATTTTGGGGTTTACTGTGCTTTTTAAACAAGTATTTTTTTTTTGTCTCCATTAATGTTTTTTGGAGTAGTTGTTAGACATTGTGTCATGAAAGGTCGATGCCTTTTTTCTGCAGATTCCACCCCTCCCCTCAACACCTTGCTGCCTTCACCTGGTGCCTGGCCCTACAGTGCCTCAGACAGTCCCCTCAACAATGCACACAACTCAGGTAACCACACACACACACACACACACACACACACACACACACACACACACACTCACAGCATCACGTCTCTGGGCTGGTGTGTTGCTTTGTCTTGTTTTTCTGAGTAGAGCTGAAGTGACTAGTCAATCAATTGGATCACTTAGAGAACTAATCCCTTTGATTGTTCGTTAAGACATTTTTCAAATGTCAAACATTCTTTAGTTCCTTTTCAATTGTTCAGGTGTGTTCACTTTCACTTTCCTCTGACATTTCATCGATCAAACAATGAGTGGATTGATTGAGAAATTAATCACCAGATTAATTAATAATGAAATTATTTAGTCGCAGCCCTGTTTCTGTTAGTCTGTCGCATGTTGTAATCTGTCTCGATGTATCGAGAGAATTTTGTGTACATAACTGAGTGATATAAGTCATAACTTAAATGTGAGATTTACTTGACAGCTCAGCTGTTGCATAACAATAAGTTTACCACATGCACCGTCTCCAAAATGTGCCTCAACAAGCTGGAACATTGTATTCCTGATGCAGTATCATAAGAGATAAAAGTTATTTGATTATGTCAAACAAGAGAAAGCCACAGTAGATGTAGGAGACGCCTTCAAGAGAACGGCTTAAAGGCTTCATCTTTCATTTGCATAATGACGTTACATCTTAACAGTTTTTAATTATGAGCAGTCTTGACCTTTTATCTTATTGCTTTCTCCGTCTCATCTTTATCCTAACTGTTGAAAGTTCTTCTTGATTGCAATGCTGGTATCATTACATATCGGTGTTGTATTAAGAAGTAGATAACTCCTCCAGAGCCTCATTCACTTCTCTGTCACACCACAGCAAAGTACACAGACTACAAGACCAGCTGGCCCCCAGAGCCCATCGGACACAAATCCTGGAAAGCTACCCGTGGCAGCAGCCAGAGCCAGCTGTCCCGCCCGCCTCCAGGACTAGCCAGTCAAAAGCAGCCATCGCCTTCCCCTTGGTCTGGAGGAGCCCCTCGATTGGCTGGCCGGGGCTGGGGCGGTGGCTCCAGCACCACTGGTAATGCCCCGACACATTCATCATGTTGTTTCGTAACCAAAGGTTGTCCCTTTATTTATCATTCAGGCACACGGTGCATGTGGAAATATTCATCTGATTTTAAATGCACACAGCAGATAAAACAGCTGGCTATGATTGAACTACAGACTCCGCTTTTATTTGATTTGGAAGTGTAGCCACGCCTTGATGGAAGCAACAGGGAAAGACATTAATCATGTATTAGATATGAGAAGCCGAGGAGAAAAAACAGAGTGTGATTGTGTTTACAGGGAATGTGGGAAACTCTCTCACATTTTATTATTTTTTCCTGTTTGCTCTCTCGCTCTCACTCTCTCTCTCTCTCTCTGCAGCCTCAACCTGGAGTGACGGCAGCTCTCGGGAAAGCTGCTGGTTGGTGCTCAGCAACCTCACACCACAGGTAACACACAATGATCAAGAGCTGTAACGATTGTAATACAGCCAGGCTGGGTTGTTAAGCCTCACTTCATGCATGCACTCATCATAAACGAGCACACAAAAGTCTTTCCAGATGCTCTGAATTCCATACATTCAACCCATCCCTCTCCAAAGTTCTCCATCGTCTATGTTGCATATTCCCGCAGATTGATGGCTCCACTCTGAGGACCATCTGCATGCAGCACGGCCCTCTGCTGACCTTTCACCTTGGCCTGACCCAGGGCACCGCTCTGATTCGCTACGGCTCCAAACAGGAGGCGGCCAAGGCCCAGAGCGCACTCCACATGTAAGACGGTCGTTTTGATATCACTCGCATGTCCGTATGGTCACTATGTAACAGAATCCAGTAGCCTCTACAAGTGAAAGTGTCATTTCTACACGTCGGATCTTCTCATCGAACATTCGCTGAGAAAGCAAATGGATATTTTTCCCAAAGTGTTGAAATTAATCCTTTTATAGTACGCTGACTTGTGGAAGGCACTGTAGTTACAGTTGAAGTGAATTTCAAGTTATTCACTGCATTGTGTGAGGCCTCTTGTTACCCTTTTAAGAGTCACTGACAGACTTTTTGTTTGTATCAGGTGTGTTCTGGGTAATACCACCATCTTGGCGGAGTTCGTGAGCGAGGAGGATGTGGCTCGCTACATTGCACATTCCCAGGCAGGAGGAGCAGGGAGCGGAGGAACCGCAGCCGGCTCAGCAGGCTCCGGGCCGACGTCCTCCTCCGCAGTGGGGTCCAACGGTAACGGAGGGAGCTGCGAGAGAGGCGGAGCAGGAGGCGGAGCAGGAGGCGGCGGCAGCGGAGGAGGAGTAGTAGAAGGAGGGTCCTCAGCTGGAGGAGCAGGAAATGGAGGAGCCGGGCCTTCCAGCTCCGGGTGGCAGAGTCTGGACAGCACAGGCAGCTCATCGGACCAGTCTGCCACCCAGGGGCCCGGGCTGGGCATCTTCGCCCAGTGGAGCAGCAACGGGACCGTGGTGGGCAGGGCCGGAGGCGTGGAGGGCGGAAGGCAGGGTCTGTGGGGGGGGATGGGCGGGATGAGCGGGGCCGGGTACTCCAGCAGTAGCCTCTGGGGTTCCCCGGCACTAGATGACCGTCACCAGATGGGCAGCCCCGCCTCACTGCTGCCCGGGGACCTGCTGGGTGGGGGGGCCGACTGACACACACACACACACACACATTTTACACCCAAGTTGTAATACATGTCTCATACTCTATTTATTTCCACGTAGAGATGACATGAATAAAGCTCCATTGGTCACCCAACATTCATACTAGACACAGGATACGTGCAGTACATGCACACATTGTTTTCACACACACACACACACACACACACACACACACACAGTAAACCGCTTAACTTTAAATGAAGACGACAGTAAAACTTGAACCGGGGGAAAAGGTGAAATCCATTAAACTCTTTTAGGACTCATCTGGATAGCTCTTTGTCTTTTTACTCCCACCATCTGCATTCAGAGACCCGCTCACTCAGGCATGCACTGTAGACAGGCTCAGCCAGAGTCCTACACGTCAGCAAGTTTAGCTTTTGCTGTTTTTAGTGTGCCACAATTTATTTTCTTTTGTATTGCTATTTAATGGTCGAATCTCAAAAATTTCGACTTGCAGACTGAGCCCTCGTAGACCTGGCTGGCGTACTTCTAAGTTCTCGTGTTGGAAGCTTTAGAGCGGGGGAAGGATCAGGAGTTTGAGTAGAATCGGGGACGGCGCCACACTACTGAGTCAAATGGACGATCGGCAACCTTTTGAGATCTGGAAAAGGAGAGCGTTTCTAGTCGGTACCGGCACCGCTACCTTGGTGGAAACATGCCATCAACATGGGACCCAGGGTAAAAAACAAAGAAGAAAAATCAAAACCGAAACAACATTAGCCAAACTTGCACTATATGCCTCTGGGTTTGTTGTTGACAAATCCTCCACAAATCCCTCCATTTGTTTTTACTTTTTTTTTTTTGGGAAACGGCTACAACACAACTACACAGACCGTACCGGATGACTTAATGTTACAACAGCAGTGGCCTTGGCTAACAACCAGCGGCCGCACGCCCGCCATGTCAGCAGCCTTCACACCTCCTCATCAGTTACACACTGCTCTTATATTTGACAAGCGAAATTGTATCTCCTCGTTGACGTATGTCGGTTGTTTATCATTTGTTTCTGTTTTAAAAGAAAAGAGAAACTTTATGGAAATTCAAAGATGTCCTCTTTTTGTTTCCCCTCTTCAAACACTGACCTCGCTATTCTATTTCATTTTTTTTTTTTTCTTACTCGAGAAATCAAGTTGGTTATTCTATATTGTCATGACATTAATGACTATGATCACTTATTTACTCGCTGTACAAGGTGCCCTCCTGCCTGCCTGTGTGTGCATGAAAGGAGTGATGACAGTGACTGGAGGAGGATGTGATGAAGATAATAATGATATCGGGAGTGTCTGTTATTGCTACAATGTTGAATGTTTTTTTTCTTGTCCGTTAGAGATTCATGAGAAATGTTTTTGTGTGCGTGTGTGTGTGCGTGTGCGTGTGCGTGCTTGCTTTTGAATACTTATCTGCTCCAGTCAGGGAAGTGAAGCGATGTTAATCTGACAGCTTATATTTGAGAGAAAGGGTGTGTTTGTGGACGTGTGTACATGTTTGACTGTCTGGATATTGTAATAGCTAAAAAGTTAAACATTGGCACTATTGCATATGTCTGTTAAGTTGTGGTTTTTTTAGCAGCATTTTGTTCCCGTTTGTATTATTTTTTTCTGCCAAATGCAATAACAGAATATTTAGTTTTTAAGACGAAGCAACCAACTGAAGGCATTTCTATAAAGATGCCAGATCCTCCCATACCAAGCTGAGCTGGAACAGTGTTTGACAGACACGTTAAAGACATTACCTGTTATGTTTTACTGTTTGTTTCTTTTGTTATGTATCAATTTAAATTAAGTCAGTCTTTATTATCACTCCTGTTCAGTATGTTTTCATTTCTTTCAGATGTTACAAAAAGAAGAGGAAATTAATTTAAAGCAGAAAAGAACAAGATAATAAAGGTTGAATTGAAGTCTGCTGTGGTTTGTTTGTTTGATCGACCGCGTCGTTAACGGTTCACGTCAGGATGTCTGGTTATCCAAAGCACATGTTCCTTCATACGTCTTATTCCAAACACCGTGAAGGAATCCCCAAAATATAGATTAAGAATCTCCCCAATACTTGTTAGCAAGTGCTAGAAAAGGTCACGTAAGCGTGAATGCTTCATACATTCTGGAGCCGTTCCTGATTTTCCATCCCATCCCATCCCACTGGCATGTTTGTTATGTTTTTAACTTTAGTGTTTTTAAATGAGTAATTGTAACAGAAAATAACCTCAAGGTTTAAAGTTCAACATAACTGACTTGGGTTTAGAGGATTTTCTATTATTTTGAATTTTAAAAAATGTATAGAAGTAAAGTTCAGGGGAAAGCTAACAATAACACTTTAGTAATTTAATATATTTTTTCAAATGAGTTATTGTTCATTACTCTGGCACATGCATCTTTTTTTTTTGTTGCATTTTCACACAATTATGTCAATTTTCTCTCCCAGCTGGCAACAATAGAACCATCTTGTACTACTGTAAAGTGGAGAGGTACTCTCAGAAGAAAACACAACTTTTGGGTATGAGAGTACAATGAAAATATTTTATCCTGGTGGACGTTTTAATGACACATTAAGATAGCTGTTAGCTGGGGGGGGGGGGGGGGCTTTTTTTTTTCTAGTGATGCTGTGTTATTTTGGGTATAGCGCTGCAAAAAAATAATATATAATGGCAAAAATGTCTTGAGTGTTACTATTTTTGTATTTCGTGGGTATATAAAGTAAGACATTCGCGTCGGCCTACCACTAGAGGGCGCTGACACTTGGACACAACCATGAGCGGAACCCTCGCAGAGCACAGACCTGCAGATGCTATCGTTGTCATATTTGTTTCTGCAGGAATTAATTTGAGATGTAAACACATGCAGCAGCTTTGAGTGAAGGGTGCGCTTCATTCGTGCCTTCGAAGAAAAACAAAATCAGCAGCAGCAGCAGCAACGCGGCGACTTTAAGACAATCCGGGCATCTCTTCAAGTCCACGGATGACATCATTGATATTGTCAATGGTGTAAACTGAGAGAGGGCAGGGAGGGGGAGAGAGAGAGCGAGAGGGAGGAGAGAGGACCTCAGTGTCTGGTTTCGGCGTTTTTTCCCCCCCCCCCCCCCCCCAAAAAAAAGAAAAAATCGTGACAGTGAGAATCTTCCAGAGACGCGGGGCTCCGGTCGACTCGGACCAGCTTGTATATTTGTTTTGTGTGTGTGTGTGTGTGTTTTTGAGGGAGTGGGGGATTCGGGTCACACATCTCCGAGGATATGAGCCGTCCGAAGCGTCCGTGTTTCGCTGTCCAGGGTCCTGAGTGAGACGGAGCCAGCGGGGCGACCACGGAGCCTGACATAACCCGGTGAGGAGGAGGTGAAGGGGGGGCGGTGTATGTTGGCTATTCAAGGTGTCTGGAGGCGTGTGTGCGCGTTTGGGGTTAGACAAATAAGAGTCCACATAGTCGTGTTTGGGCGGGGGGGGGGGGGGGGGGGGGGGG